CCATTTTAACCTTATTTATCCCTCACATCTTATGGAGAATCGCCAATTCTGATTTACACCAAAGCTCCAAGGGTGCAAAGGGAGCAGTGACAGCAGCCCACATCCCTTGGGGGGGTAACACTGCTGCCTGCAGGAGATGCAGGAGCTCACGGAGGGCCAGCCCACCATGGTGCAGACCACCATAGAATCCTAGAAAGGCCTGGGTTGCAAAGGAGCACAGCGCTCATCCAGCTCCAAGCCCTGCTGTGTGCAGGTCGCCAAGCAGCAGCCCAGGCTGCCCAGAGCCACATCCAGCCTGGCCTTGAATGCCTGCAGGGATGGGGCATCCACAGCCTCCTTAGTTTAAAACCATTCCCCCTTGTCTCATCAACATGACAAAAGCCCCCAGGAAACTCACATGGCCTCACCCTCAGGGTGTGCAGAGCAGTCGGGCTTCCCTTGCAGGGGATCCTTGGAGCAGTGCATGCAGCCAAAGCATTCGTGACATCCCCCCACCCAGGGAGGGCGGGCACAGCCATAGGGAACAGCCCTGGGGCTGCTCAGCACCTCTGCTTCCCATACACTGCACAGGGCTCGGCTCCCCTCCCTGCCAAGGCGCAGCAGAACACAAAGTCAGCAGCAGCAGCAACCACAATGGTGAGGCAGAAAATAAATCTCCCTGTTTGTAGGTGAGGGCTGTGCCTGCTGGAGAAAGGAGCTTTGCCTTTTCCCTGCCAACTAAAACAGTGCAGCACAGAATCACAGAATAGCTTGGGTTGGAAGGGAGCTCAAGGATCACGAAGCTCCAACCCCCCACCAATGCAGGGCCACCAACCTCCCCATCTCACAGCAGCCCAGGCTGCCCAGGGCCCCATCCAAGCTGGCCTCCAACACCTCCAGGGATGGACGGGGCATCACAGCCTCTCTGGGCAGCTGTTCCAGCCCCTCACCACTCTCTCTCTAAACAACTTCCCCCTGACATCCAACCTCCAGCTGCCCTCCCTCAACTCCAAACCATTTCTCCTGTCCTGCTGTCATCTATGGACCCCCAGGACAGCAGGGTGGGCACGCAGGGCAGCACATTGCAGATCCCCTCCTAGCACAGCACCACCAGCAGCTCCTCTCCCTGCATCACTCATGCACACACTCAGGGCACACAAGCACACACTGCCCCATAGGACACGCACTGCTTGTGTGAGCTGTGGGCATGAGGCTCAGTGGGGCGGCTTGGGGCTCTCGGATGGCTTTTCCTGCCTTCACAAGGTGATGATTCCAACCCAGCTGCTAACACCTCGGTCGGCTCTCATAGGAGAGGCAGTGCATGGTTCTCCATCGATCGTTTCTAAGCACCAAAGACAGAAAGTGCTGTTCAAAGCCCGGTGGCACAAAGCCACCCAGCTGGCACCGACCTGTCCCCACGCTCAGCTGAGCAAACAGCCTCCTGCACGGCCCTGTGCTGGCGAGCAGCGCGTCCCACCACAGCCATAGGACAAACACATGAGATGCACGATGAGAACCACGGCACCTGGAGTGCAGGGGGCAGAAATCAAGCAGCCCTTGTGCTCCTGGCACCCCACGGCCCCCAGCTGGATGGGCACAGGGTGGGCACTGAGCCGCCTGCAATGGGTGCCCCCAGCGCGCAATGTGGGACCACCAACAGCCCACTGCCCCCAGCGCAGTGCCGTGGTGACACTGTGACACGGGGACACACAGCCCTGGTCCCCCACCTGGTGCTGCACAGCTGGAGGAACCCCCACCACGGCAGCTTCTCGGGCACAGATGCTCCCACGAAGCGCTCAGGCGCTGATAAGAGATGCCAGCAGTGAACCGTGAGCCCTCTGCAACAGCACGCTTTGCAACAGTTGATTAGCAGCAGGAGTAATCAAATTCAAGTGCCCATTAGCTCCGTTTAGAGCCAGACCACTTCATTTCTGTGTAAGCTAATTATGGCCTACCGGCTTCCAACAACAGCAGAGGTTTCAGGCTGCGTTCCCAAAGCGCCTGGTGCCGTATGGGGCACAGGGATGGGGATGGGATACGGCTGTAAGCTGAAGGAGGGAGGGCTGGGTGGGATGTGAGGGGATGCCCTTCACCCCACGGCACTGCCTGGGGCTGTGAGCCCCATGGCTGGGGGAGCCCAAGGCTGTGGGTGGGCACTGGGACCCTGAGCTGAGCGCACACCCCTGTGGTGGGGGTCCCAACCCAACACTTCTGCAGCTCGACGATAAATGGGACCCCGTCTCCCACTTCCACAGCATCCGATCGTACAGCTGTCGATGCCAGGAAGCACCATGAGCATCACTGAGGGGTTCAGACCAGATGGTCCTGGAGCCATTCTGTGACCTCACCCTGCTGCCCACCTCCCTCAGTGCCACATCCCCACGGCTCTGGGACACCCCCAGGGTCGGTGACCCCCCCCCCAGCAGCTTGTGCCAATGCTGGCTGCCCTTTGGAGAAGGGATTTCCCCAGTGCCCAACCTGACCCCGTCACCTCTCATCCAACCTGGGGGCAGAGGCCAACCCTCACTCCCCCTCCGTCCCCCCACCCCTCATCCTTCTCCCAGCCCCAAATTCAGGTTTCTCCCACCTCTCCTTGTCTGAAGGAAAAAACAACTTCTTCTTCTGCTTAGTCACAGATTAATTATGTGCTGGCAGCCTTACAGATCTAAACGCAGGCAATGCTGAGCAGCCTTAATCCCGTGCTATTTCCCCCTTCCTGCAGTGGCTGCAGCTCTCCGAGCGCTCCGGCACCGCTCAGCTGTGGGACATTCCTGACGTTCCCCTGCTTGCTGTGCTCCTGTGCTCCAAGAACTGCACACGTTCAGGCACAGGAGCTGCAGAAATCGGAAGGGATGAATCCATCTGTCCTCAGAACGTGGCTTTTTGGGATACAGAAGCACTGGGCCATCAGAGCAGCGTGTGCCTGGGACAGCATCCCCATCCCCATCCATGTTAAGGGGCATTCAGAGTAGGACTCACCCCAAGCCGTGTCCTTTCCTAAGTGGAAAAAGTAGGTTGCTTAAAAATAGGCCTGGAAGCCAAGCCAACACCGGCACCCAAAGCTACGTCCGAAGCATAAACAAGCAGGGAGGATTTGTGTACAAAACCCACAGCCAGGGTAACGTAATGCCCCTAATGACTTCCTTCTGCTCCTCCAATGTTTCCATACCTGCTGGAGGCACGGCCTGAGGCTGCCAGAAGCCCACGGTGTGCAGCCCAGCATCACCCTGAGGGCGATTGGCTTGAAAGTGAGACAGGGGAGGTTTGGGTTGGATGTGAGGAGGAAGTTTTGGAGGCAGAGGGTGGTGAGGCACTGGCACAGGTTGCCAAGGAGGCTGTGGATGCCCCATCCCTGCAGGCATTCAAGGCCAGGCTGGATGTGGCTCTGGGCAGCCTGGGCTGCTGCTTGGCGACCTGCACACAGCAAGGGGTTGATACTAAATGATCACTGTGCTCCTTTGCAACCCAGGCCATGCTGTCATTCTATGATACCTGCCAGGCATGGGGACGGCCCTCAGGAGGAGCTGCACTCCTGCTGGGTGCCACATCCAGCCAAAAATCCCAGCATGGACAGCCACAGAGTGCAGACCCAGAAGGATCTGAGGGACCCCTGCAGCACCGACCCTGCGTTGCAGCCACACAGCAAAGCAATCACTGGGTCAGGACAGCAGGGAAGGCACAGGGAAGGACGCACATCCCCTGTGAGCACATTGGGCACACGGAGCTGATGGTGCAGCAACACAGCTGTGTGCACAGCCAGCCACGAGCTGCACTCCTGCTTCCCACAGCATCCCAAACCATCGGGTCCGGCAGAGACCTGCTGCTCTCCCTGCCAGCCCAGGGCGCCCCAATGCTGAGCAGAGGGCTGCAGCACCTCCCTACAAAGACAGGCTGAGGGAGCTGGGCTTGTTCAGCATGGAGAAGAGAAGCTGCGGGGTGACCTCAGTGCAGCCTGCAGTGCCTCAAGGGAGCCTGCAGACAGGAGGGGAGTCAGCTCTGTGCAAGGGGAGATGGCAGCAGGACAAGGGGAAATGGTTTGGAGTTGAGGGAGGGCAGCTGGAGGTTGGATGTCAGGGGGAAGTTGTTTAGAGAGAGAGTGGTGAGGGGCTGGAACAGCTGCCCAGAGAGGCTGTGATGCCCCGTCCATCCCTGGAGGTGTTCAAGGCCAGGTTGGATGGGGCCCTGGGCAGCCTGGGCTGCTGTGAGATGGGGAGGTTGGTGGCCCTGCATTGGTGGGGGGTTGGAGCTTCGTGATCCTTGAGCTCCCTTCCAACCCAAGCAAGCTCTCCAAGCTTGCACCAGCTCTACAGCCAAGGGGAGGCGGTCCGGACACGGATGCGCAGAGCACTGTGCTGCTCCCACCCGCTGCACGTGGATGGCCGCGGCCGAGCAGCGCATCGAGGTGGAGGTTTGGAGCCCGGCCCGCTCCGCTCCCAGGCAGCAGCTGAACAACCCCGGGCCGCCGCCGCCTCCAAAAATAGCCGTCCCGGAGCATTCCTCGCAGGCACAAACCTGCCTGCGGCCGCGGGGCCGCGCAGATCACTTTCCCGGCCGGCCCCCGGAGCGCTCGGAACGGAGCCGGACCGGCCGTCGGACCGACCTCACCTCCCCCCCCTCCCCGGGGGCAGCGGCGATGCGTGGCGGCTGCGGGCAGCGCTCCGTGCGGGAGCGGCTCTGCCGGTTCCGGCGTCCCCTCGGCGGCGCCCGCAGCCGCTCCGCCCCCCGCTGACCCCGCAGCCGCTCCGCTCCCCACGCGTCGGCCGCTGCCCGGACGGTGCTCCCGTTGCGCGGCTCAGGACCCGCTTTGACCCCGCCGCCCCTCCGGGTCCTACCGGCACCGGGCCGGGCTCGGACCCCGTTACGGCCCGCAGACCGCATAGATCTCAGAACCCTCCTCCCGGACCCTTGGAGGCCCCGAATCCCATCCCGAGGCCCGCGGACCCCCCGAGGCGCTGCCCGCTCCGCGCTCGCTCGGCCCAGGCCGCTCCCGACCCCCCCCAGCCGCCCCGGCCCGGCCGTACCTGCGATGGCCGTCTCGTCCAGGTGGGAACCCGGCGGCCGCTCGGCCCGGCCCGGTTGCAGAAGGAAGCCGCACAGCACCCACAGCGCCGCCGCCGCCCGCAGTTCCATGCCCGCTCAGCTCCTGATCCGCATCGAGGCCTCCACGCTCCTCGGGGCACCGCCGGGTCAGCGCCGGACCGGGACTCGAACCGCCGCTCTGCGCGCTGCCGGTCGGGGCGGGGCTACGTGACACCACGCCCCCGCCGGCCAGACCACGCCCCTCCCGGATATCAACGCCCTGATTTGACCACGCCCGTTCCGTCTTGCCACGCCCCCGCTCAGACCACGCCCTGTCCTGTGTGACCACGCCTCCTTCAAGCCACGCCCACCACGTGGCCACGCCCCCGCCGCTCAGTCCACGCCTCCCGCCGGCCCGGCGCCGCTCCCCGCCCCGCGTCCTCTGCCGGCCGCTCCCCTCCGCCCGCTCTCTATTCCCGCACCGCCCCCCCGCTCCCCGCACGCTGCCGTTCCGTCCCGCCGCCCTCTCCTCCCCCTCCCCCCCTCCCTCCTCTCCCGCCGCGCACCCGCCCGCGCCGCCGTCGCACCTCGCTGACAGGGGGCGGGGCCGCCGCCGCTCATCGGTCGGCCAATCGGAGCGCAGGATGTTGGCCCCGCCTCTCCGCTGGGCCCCGCCCTTCCCTCCCACCTCCGCCGCTCCGCAGCGCCGTCTGCTGGACGCGTGGAGGACGTGCAGGCTGGGAGCGGGACCGCCGGCGCGGCGCGAAAGCTAAGCAGGAAGGGCTGCGTGCGGCGATTGGATGGGTGACCAGAATTGGACGTCGTGTGCGGAGATCGCGGAGAGCGGCGGCAAAAGTAGCGCCCATCCCCCACCCCGGGGCAATGGGGGCTGGGAGGGGCGAGGATGGGAGTGGGATGGGATGAGGATGGAGACAGGATGGGAATGGGATGGGATGTGGGTAAGGATAGGGATGGGGTGGGATGGGGTGGGATGGGATGAAGATGGGAATCGGATGGGGCTGGAGACAGGAACTGAGCCTGGAAATGGGGATAAGGATGGGGAAAGGGTGAGATGGGAATGGGAACTGGGATGGGGGAACGGCAGTGGGGACAAGGATGGGTGGGGATGGGATGGGGATGGAGGTGGGATAGGATGGTATCACAGCATCACAGCATCACAGCATGGTTTGGGTTGGAAGGGAGCTCAAGGATCACGAAGCTCCAACCCCCCACCAATGCAGGGCCACCAACCTCCCCATCTCACAGCAGCCCAGGCTGCCCAGGGCCCCATCCAACCTGGCCTCCAACACCTCCAGGGATGGACGGGGCATCACAGCCTCTCTGGGCAGCTGTTCCAGCCCCTCACCACTCTCTGAGTAAAGTAACGGTAATGGAGGATGGTAATGGAGATAGGATGAGGATGGGGAAGGGGAAGGGGTGGGGGATGGGATGAGATGAAACGAGGATAGAGAAAGGACTGGGATGAAATAAGATGAGGATTGAGATGGGATGGGGATGGGAATGGGAACAAGAACTTGGGTTTGAGCATGGGGGTGAGATGGTCCTGGAAATGGAGAGAACAGAGATAAAGATAGGATGGGAGAGGAACTGGAATTCTGACTGGGAAGGGGAAAAGGACAGGAATTGGGGTGGGAATAAGGGGGGGACAGGAACCGGAATGGGGACAGGAAAGGGGAGCAGCCCCCATAGGGCACCACTGTGGGGCTCCTGCCCCAACCGGAGCCTGGGGGCGCCCATCCCTCCTATGGGTGTCTGGGTGGGGGCTCAGTGGGGTTTGGGGGGCGACGCCTGGAGGGGACGATTGTAGCCCCAATAGAGGAAATCCCCCCCCGCGTTCCCACGCTCCCCCTCCCCTCCCCAAACCCTCCACTTCCCCACGCCCCCCCCCCCCCCGCCCTATAACACCCCCCCACTCCGGGCCGAGGCAGGAAGGAAGCGGCGGGGGCGGGCCGGGCTCGGCGGGAGGAACGGTCGGGGTCGGGAGGGACCGAACGGCGCGGAGCGGCGCGGAGCGGAGCGGAGGACCCCCCCCCCCCCACCGTGCATCCCACCATGGGCCGGGGTGAGCGCGGGGGGCGCGGGGTGGGCTGTGAGGGCGGGGTCTGATGGGGGGAGCGGGCAGCAGAGCCAGGAGAAGGGCGTCCGTCTGTCCCACGGCAGAAGCCGCCCCCTGTGCCCCCCGTGTGGGACCGGGATGCCGGGGAATGGGGGGGGCCGCACTCAGTTGTACCCATAGATTGGGGGAGCTGAGGCTGAGGGCGCTGCTGCTGTCCTGGAGACCCCTTTTGCTCCGTTGGAGGTCTTCCATCCTCTTCCTCTCACTTAGGGAGGGTTGGTGCACTATGTGGGCTATGTGAGGTCCTGCTGCCTGCTTGAAGACCCCCGTGTGTCCTGATGGGCTGCCCCCATCTCCATCCCCATCCCTCCACCTCCATCATTCCCATCCCCACCTCATCCCATCCCCATCCCCACCTCATCCCATCCCCATCTCCACACTCATCCCCATCTCCACACTCATCCCCATTTCCATCATCTCCCCCTCCATCATCTCCACTCCCATCCCCATCTCTGTACCTCCATCTTCACCATCCCCATCTCATCCCATTCCCATCCCCGACTTCACACCTCCATCCCCATCTCCACACCTCCACCACCACCTCCTCCTCCCCTACCTCCACCTGGACCTCCATCCCCATTCCCAGACCCCATTGCCTCCATCCCCATCTCCATCCCTGTGATCTGAGAAGGGCAAATCACGGCCCACCACTGTTCCCTACCCTGCGTCCCCAAAGTGCCCCCGGTGCATGTTTGGGGCTGAGGGTCCAGATGGGGCTGTTGGGGCAAATGCCCCGGTGCTGCCGAGGTGATGCACAGGGTCCAGTCGGACCCGCAGCCCCACGGCAGGGAAACCCAAATCGCCCGGCTCAGAGCAGCCGGTGGGTGCGCAGCGAGGGTTTCCTTCGGCCCGGGGACAGAGGGAACGGAGCCCCCGCCCGGTGCGCACCGCCTGCGGGACCCCCGCAGCGCGTCCCATCGGCGCCACCCGAAGTCGTGCGTTGGGTCCCCGCGTCCGGTTTGGTGTCCCCAGCTCTAAGCTGGAGGGGACCGCAGGAAAAGTGGGGCAGCTGCGTGACGCACAGGGCGCGGAGCGGGGCGCACAGGGTCGGATGCGCTCTGCGGGGTGCGCCGTGCCGCAGTAACGCTCGCCGTGCCGGTGCCAGCGGAGCGGCCCGCGGCCCCACGGAAAGCCCCAGGTTGGGGGGGGGGGGGTGCCCGGGTGAGCGGCCGGGGGAGGTTTTGCTTCCCCTTTCTTCTGCTCGGCCCCACAGCTGCGCCGTCTCCCCCGCCCCGGTGATGCGGTGGGGTATGAATCACCTCGCGCCCCGCGCCCGCACCCACTCCAGCGCGGCGGGACAGCGGCTCTTCCTCTTCCTCTTCCTCCTCCGCTTCCCCTCCTCTTGCGGGGTCTGGGAGGGGCGATCCCACGGGGCTGAGGCCGGGCTGCGGGGCAGAGCTTTGCCTTTGGGTCCCGTACGGAGGTTCTTTCCGAAGCCCCCACCCCATCGCCTCCGCTGGGAATGGCCGGGGCCGGAGCGGGGCGGGGGAGCGCTGCCGTCCGTGCCCTGCGTTACTCCGGGATGCTCCGTGGGGCTCCTCGCGGCCTTGATCCCAGCGGGGGCAGAAGGGGTCAAACGAGCGGAGGGGGCCGGCGGGGGCAGCGGGGGCGGCCGGAACCCTCGTGGGAGAACAGAGCGGCACTGTGCGAGGATGGGGACACGGGGACACAGGGATGGGGACACGGGGACAGGGGGATGGGGACGGGAACGAGGACGGAGATGGGACGCAGGTAGCACAGCGCTGGCGCCGGGTGTGCCAAGGGTGCAGCAACACGTGGAGCCCTTGCGGCGTCCCGGCGCTGTTTGCTCAGGGACCGTGGCACGGTGGGCACCGACGCGCAGCCCCTCTGATCCCTCGTGGCTCCACCCCCTCCCCGCTGGGACGCAGCAGCGCCATCGCCTCTGTCTGCATCGAGACCCCCTCGGTCTGCAGCCAGCGCCACCCCTGGTGTCCCCGTACCCCTCCGAGGTGCGGCCACGGGGAGGACAAACAAACCCGACGCGCTGCGCTCGCTCCGTGCCCGCGCCGGGGGTCTCACGTGGGGATCCTCGCAGTGGGTGCTGCCCCAGTGGCGCCTCTCCCTGTGACAACGATTTGCTCATGGCCACGAGCCTTTCCACTGCGCTCCCCCACAGCCCTGACTCAGCCACGGCCTTTCCTGCGATGGGACGGGGATGGGGATGGCACGATTCCATGGCGGCCACGGGACACAGCAGAGCCCTGTGGTCACCCCTGTCCTGAGCGGCCCCTCCAGCCCCACACAGTGCTGCTCCCCAGCCCCATTGCTGCTCTCCAGCCCCATCCCAGCCTCGTGCTCCTCTTCCTATGGCACCCGCAGCCCTACACAGGGCTCGGCACCGTGGGGCACAGCACCAACCCCGTGGGCAGGAAGCCCAGGAAGAGGAAGAGTGACTTCCCCATGTAAGAGGGCCCCATGCACCCCACGGTCCCTCTGGGGACCCCCCCACCCACCCCACAGCTGCACTACGCCTGGCTCACCGACCTCATCAGCCCCACCAGCCCCTCAGCAGAGCGGGCACAGAGCAGCGCTGCGGCACAGCGTGGGGCTCTGCAGTTCCTGTGGCAGCCCTGGTCCCTGTGCACGCTGCCCAGGGCAGCCTGTGCTGCATAGGATGATGGAACCGTGGAGAGGAAAAGCCCTGAGATCCAACTCTTGGAAAGGGGAGATGGCAGCAGGACAAGGGGAAATGGTTTGGAGTTGAGGGAGGGCAGCTGGAGGTTGGATGTCAGGGGGAAGTTGTTTAGAGAGAGAGTGGTGAGGGGCTGGAACAGCTGCCCAGAGAGGCTGTGATGCCCCGTCCATCCCTGAAGGTGTTCAAGGCCAGGTTGGATGGGGCCCTGGGCAGCCTGGGCTGCTGTGAGATGGGGAGGTTGGTGGCCCTGCATTGGTGGGGGTTGGAGCTTCGTGATCCTTGAGCTCCCTTCCAGCCCAAACCACTCCGTGATGCCGTGATCCCCCCCCCACTGCCCACATCCCCACAGCTCTGAGCCCTGTGCCCCCCCCACAACCCTCAGCACAACTCCAAGCTCCCAGGTTGCCCAAGGAGGCTGTGGATGCCCCATCCCTGCAGGCATTCAAGGCCAGGCTGGATGTGGCTCTGGGCAGCCTGGGCTGCTGCTTGGCGACCTGCACACAGCAGGGCTTGGAGCTGGATGAGCGCTGTGCTCCTTTGCAGCCCAGGCCATTCTATCTCTCTGTGATCCTACGATCCCACACCACTCCCCATCCGATCACCGGGGGCTGCAGGCGGTGGCGCTTTGCCCCCCAGCTCTGCCCTGACCTCCTCCCCCCCCGCAGGCCGCTGAGGCAGACGGCGCAGCGATGCAGAGCATCAAATGCGTGGTGGTGGGCGACGGCGCCGTGGGGAAGACGTGCCTGCTCATCTGCTACACCACCAACGCCTTCCCCAAGGAATACATCCCCACCGTCTTCGACAACTACAGCGCTCAGAACACGGTGGACGGGCGGACTATAAACCTCAACCTGTGGGACACGGCCGGGCAGGAGGAATACGACCGCCTGCGGACGCTCTCCTACCCCCAGACCAACGTCTTCATCATCTGCTTCTCCATCGCCAGCCCTCCCTCCTACGAGAACGTCAAGCACAAGTGGTACCCCGAGGTTTGCCACCACTGCCCCAGCGTGCCCGTGTTGCTGGTGGGCACCAAGAAGGACCTGCGCACGAACCCCGACACCATGCGCCGGCTCAAGGAGCAGAACCAGGCGCCCATCAGCACCCAGCAGGGTCTCAGTTTGTGCAGGCAGATCCGCGCCGTCAAATATCTGGAGTGCTCGGCGCTGCAGCAGGAGGGCATTAAGGAGGTGTTCACCGAGGCGGTGCGCGCCGTGCTCAACCCCGCGCCGGCCAAAGCCAAGCGGCCCTGCGTGCTGCTGTAGGGCGGCGTGGGGCCGCCGTGCCCACGGACACCAGCGGCTCAATGTGGGGCTGCAGCCGAAACCCCGCTGCTCCGCTCTGGGATCAGCCTGCAGGTTGCGCTCCGCCCCACGCCGCCCTGCCCGGCGCCACCGCCCCCAGCCTGCGAGCGGCCGCAGCCCCACAGCCCCGGTCCTGAGAAGCCCCGGCTCCGAGCGCCCCCAGCTTTGAGCATCCTCTGCTGAGCGCCCCCAGCTCTGAGCATCCCCACCCAAACGTCCCTGCTGCTCAGCACCCCCAGCTCTGAGCACCTCTGGCACTGAGCAGCCCAGCATCGCCGCGCAGCAGCTCTGAGCGCCCCCCATGCTGAGCGTCTCCCACTCCGCACGTCCCAGCTCTGAGCACCCCCGGCTCCGTCAGTCTCCGGCTCTGAACACCTCTGGCTCTGAGCACTGCTGGCACTCAGCATCTCTGGCTTTGAGCCTCGCCAGCTCTGAGCTCTCTGCCTCCCATGGAGTGCAGCACGGCCAAACTCGGCCAGCCCCAAGCTGTGAGCTTCAGTGCTACAGAGCCCAACTGCACTACCTGCCTGCTGGCCTGGGGCCAGCTGGGCTCCCTCCTGTTCCCTTCATCACCATCCCCATCCCACCCCATCCCATCCCATCCCATCCCATCCCATCCCATCCCATCCCATCCCATCCCATCCCATCCCATCCCATCCCATCCCATCCCATCCCATCCCCATCCCCATCCCCATCCCTTCCCCTCCCACCCCCTTTGGCTGTCAGTGATCACTTTTTGGGTGACCCCTCTCCAGCTCTGGCACAGAGCATCACTTCCTGAGACAGGGCTGCCCCATGGGGCCAAATCTCCCGGCTCCTGCCTGAGCTCCCCCAGCCCCTTGGGGACCCACTGCCACCCCCCTCACCCCCCGCTGTCACCCCTCAAAGTGCTGCAGAGTGGTTTGTCCCATAGGACCCCAGTGGCACCAGGCTGCCCCCATCCAGTTCCCCTTGAGCTGCTTTCAATAAAGACCCCCCTTCCCCCCCCCTCAGGCCCTGTGGCTTCTGTGCTTTGCTGTCTGCTCCCATCCCCGGAGCTGCTGCTGGGACACGAGTGCCATCTCTGTGTCCTGGGGTCCCTGGGATGGGGGGATGGGAAATGGGGGGATGGGAACCCAGCTGGCACTGCACCCCTGGGTGACACTGGGGCAGCACCAAGTGCTCTGTGGGGACTTGGGAGGGGGGTGGGGGGCATCGCAGGGATGGGGGCAGTGGAGGAGATGAGCACGGAGGGACGCCGTGGGGACGGGGACACTGCAGGGATGAGTGCAGCGATCTGCAGGAGGGTCTCCTCCCCACGATTCCCTTTCACCACAGCTCCCCTCCTGGCAGCCCCATGGATGCCCGCATTGCAGCCCCATCACAGCCCCACGGGACGTGGGGGGGTACGGAGGATCCGGGCGCTGCAGCCCCCCACAAACGGGTCGGAGTCAGCCGTGCACAGGAGCCCCTTGTGCGGCCCCGCAGCCGGACGCAGCCCCACACAAACGCCTTTTGTTCCCCCAGCCGTCCGCGGGGGGGCCCAGGGGGCGGTGTGGGCGGTGGTACCAAGGGGCAGCGCTGCCCCGTCCCCATCCCGTCCCCATTCCGTGGCCGTGCCAAGGGCGCACGGCCGTGACGCAGCGCTCCGGCAGCCGGCGGGGACGGATGGAGGGGGGGGGGGAAGGGGGTTGGACAAGGCGAGGACGGCGCCCTGCCCTGGGATGAGCTCACGGCTTCCTCTTCCCCGCGCTATGAGGTCAGGGGGTGTGGGCAGCACCGGGGGAGCCCCGATGTCCCACGGCCACCCCAGCGGCATCTGCAGCTGCGTTGGCTCCCAGGGGCCAGGTGGGGAGTGCAGCCATCAGCTCCCATCCACCCCAAAGCCGGATCCGCCTCCTGCATCCGGCCCCGACCCCACAACCGCCTCGGGGTCCTGCAGGGAATGGGTGCCGCCCATCCGTGGTCACCGTGTCACCCCGCTGCCCCGCTCCAGCAACTCAGCGCTGCACCCACGGGACCCCAAACGGTGGCAGCATCGACAGCTCCAGGCGCTGCAGCCCGGGGCAGGGAAGGGGGCAGAGAGCCCACAGTGGGGGAAGAAGGGCAGAGAAGAGCACTGAGACTGCAGAGAGCTCCCAAAAATCCTCAGTGCTTTATTTCATCCTCCAAAGCCAGGAGAAGGCGCTGCAGGGAGGGGCTGTGCGCCCCACCTGGGTGGGAGATGGGGGTACACACGGATGGGGACATGGGACCCCAGCAGTGCACCCAGCCCTGCAGCAAAGTGCCCACGGTCCCAGAGCTGTGGGGCAGGCTGGCCACCTTTGGACCACAGATTCTTTTCAGGGATTTGGATGAAGGGTCCCCAATAAATCCCATCAGCCTGGGGGTGGAAGCAGCACGCAGAAAACGGGCCCAACACCACAAGCAGCAACTGCTCTGCCCAACCCACTGCAAAGAGGCAGCGACCTCCAGTCCTCGCATCCCTGGTGCCCGGGCTGTGAGATCCCACCTGCAGAGCTCAGCCCAGGGCACGGGGGCACAGAACAGCACACAGAGCTCTGATGAGCACCGGAGCGCAGCCAGGAGGAGCGAATCCCATTCCTGGTCCCAGCATGGGGGCAACTGCAGCCCCCGGCCCACGCCACGGGGCAGCACAAACCGTGGGAGCGCTCGGTTAGAAATGCTTGTCCTCCAGCATCGAGCTCACCACCAGCTCCTTGTTGCCGAAGTCCCAGAAGGCCGTCATGTGGAAGGCCATGTTGGAGAAGACCACCACGTACTCCAGGAAAGCAAAGATGGTGTACACTGTTGGGAGGAAGCACAGCGGGTCAGAGGGCAGCGCTGGGGCCCCGCTGCTGCCCCACACCCAGCTGCTCCCCTGTTTACCTCCAGGTCTGCAGTACCAGTTGTGGTGGAAATAGACGCAGACGGCAATGGAGAAGGTGATGAAGGTGATGAAGAAGAGCAGCTGTTTCCACTTGTAGGATTTGCGCTCCTGGGAGAGAATAACGAGGGCACGGCTCAGCTCTCAGCCCGTCCCGATGGGGGCTGCGCCCCCCAACCCCAGCCCCCGGCCTGGGTGGGTGTGGGGAACCCACAGTGCAGGAGCACAGCGGGGATGGGGGGAAGGCAGCCACGAACCCAACCAGGCTGCCATGCCTGTGTCTGAGTGGGAGGGGAACTTCCCCCTCTGTCTGTGGGTTCACGTGAGGCAAACCTCTCCATTTTCAGGGACTGCTGAGAATGAGGAAAATGTAAATGGCCCCATCACACTTTCCATGACCCCACTGGCACACACACACACACACACAGGCTGTGGTGCAGAGGAAAACCCAGAGAGGAAGGGCGGCCCCACGGTTCCATGGGGCACCTGGGGCTGGGGGAGCTCAGCCCCACACATCCGCACCCCATGGGCTGCCAGCGCTGCTCCTGCCTCACTGCTCCCCTGCAGCACCGCAGCCCCACTCTGCTGCCACAGTGCAATGCACCACACCATGCAGCGCCGTGCTGCACTGCAATGCACGACTCAGGACTGTGCTGCGCTGCACCACGTGGCGCTGCAGCACTGCACCACACCATGCAGCGCCGTGCTGCACTGCAATGCACCACAACCCACAGAGCTGTGCTGCACTGCACCGTTCTGCGTGGCACCACGCCGCCTTGCTCTGCACCACTGCATGGCATCACGCAGCACCGCACCGTGCAGCACCACTCTGCTTTGCTGCACTGCATCACAGCACTGCATGCTGCTGGCTCACCCCCTCCAGCTGTGCAGCCTTGCAGGAGGCTGCTGCTTGCAGTGCTTGAGGCACAGCCCGATGGGGTTGCAGCGCACGGGGCTGCAGCACCTCGTGAGCCATTTGCATCTACCACCCATCCTCAGCCCAAAGGCTCGCCCAGGTTTTGCTGCAGGGAACGCAGCCCCGGGGCTGCAGTGGGGCTCCAGGCCCCGTCCCTCTGCTCTCACACCACCCCACAGCGCAGCGTTCGGATGTGGGTCCGACCGCAGCACGTTATATTTGACCACGCAGTGTGCTGGCTTTGTGCTGCAACACGTTTCCCCGTGCACATGGAGCTGAGTCAGTAGCAGAAGCTGGGGGAGAAGGAAGCAGAGCTGCAGCTGCACGGCGCTGCGTGGGGCTGTGCCAAACCCCAACCCTGCCCCGCGGTGCCGTGGGACCCCCATGTGGGCTCAGAGTCCCCACAGAGCTGCAATGGGGCCACGTCACAGCTCAGCCCCGCTGCTCTGCCTCGGGCTTTTCGGAGCTACATGTTGCTCTGCTGGCCTCCCTGTGCTGAGTGCTGCAGTATCTGCAGAGCAATGGGGGGGGGTCCTGGCACACACTGCTGGTGCACCCACCCCAAAGCCAGGCTCGGTGCTTGCACTGCTGATAACCGTGAATTGAGCTGAGCTCAGCTACACCACCCTGACAGCAAAGGGCTCGAGCCCTCAGGAAGGAGCAGGAGCAGCTTCCCAGGGGCCGCAGCCCCACAGCTATGGGGCGAGCAGTGCAGTGACAGCAGCTGCACAGAGATGTTTGCGAATGAGAAGTGAAACCAGCAGCCGTGCTGTGCTGTGCCCTGCAGTGGGCTGGGAGGCTGGGTGCAGGGCTGTGCCTCACGCGCGGTGCTCAGCACGCAGCCAGGGCTCTCCAGTTCCATTCCCCCTGCCTTCTCACCGCTGTTTCCCCCTCCCCTCCTGCCCCAAACCCGCTTTCCCTTCCCTCCACATCCACAAGGCTTCGTTTTCCCTTTTCTCCCCATTTGCCACCTTGCAAGTGGAAACCATCTGCACTTCCCCATCGCGAGTTCCCCAGCACCTTCCTGCCCTCGCAGCGGAGCTGTTGCAACCCCGGCCCCGGTGAACGTCAGGCTTTTGCAAGAGCAATTCCTGTCACACACACACGCTCTGCTGAAAGCCACGGCCTGGGAGCGGATGCCCTCCCACAGCAGAGCCCTCCTGCAGCACCGCAGCTCGGCCACGCAGCAGCAGAGGCAGCCCGGAGGCAGACAGCACAGGTGATGAGATTGCCAGGGTTATCACAGGGTTGTGGGAAATGCCGAGCTGGCACAGACCCACGGGGGTCACTGAGCCCAACCCCGGCCCCACGCAGCCCCCCCACAGCCTGGCCCTATAGCAGAGTGCTGTCCTGCACCCCACGAGCTCAGCGCTCTGCCCGCCACCCCAACCCCAGCTGCCCCTCCTGGCCCCACGCTGCTCCCTCGGCTCCAACCCGTGGCACGATGGCTGTGCTGAGCCTTTTGTCCTGAAGGATGGCTGCGAGAAACAGCACCGAAAGCTCTGCTGAAACCCAAAAAACCCCAGCATCAGCTGGTTTCCCTGCCGTCCAGCCGCTTGACCTCGTCGCAAGTTCCCCAAACAGGACCTTCCTCTCATAGGATCACAGCCACGAAGGCTGGCAAAGCCCTGCAAGGTCCCTGAGCCCACAGCACTGCCCACAGCCCTCAGTGCCACGGCGCTGAACGGCTCCAGGGATGGTGACCCCCAGCAGCCCAGGCTGGAGCTGCAGGAAGGATTGATCCCGACAACAAAGCGCCACGCTGCCGGTGACCCCCATGCTTCAAAAGGTTCCCAATAACTCCCAGACCTTCCGGAGAACTGGAAGGAGTGAAGTTTCCCACCCACCGCAGGAGCTCTCGTGATGATGCACGACGGCCACGCGGCGCAAAGGCTGATCTCAGCCTCAGCTTCCCACACCGGAGACCTTCCCCGAAAATAAACCCTGAGACACCCAGCAGCTCTAAGCAACTTCCCCTCTAAAGCAGCGGGTTGGGGAGGACACAGCACACAGCTTAAAGCAGAGCACACAGCACACAGCACACAGCACACAGCACACAGCACACAGCTCAAAGCACAGCACACAGGACAGCACACAGCACACAGCTCACAGCACACAGCACACAGCACACAGCACACAGCACACAGCTCAAAGCACAGCACACAGGACAGCACACAGCACACAGCTCACAGCACACAGCACACAGCTTAAAGCACAGCAAACAGCACACAGCACACAGCACACAGCACACAGCACACAGCACACAGCACACAGCACACAGCACACAGCACAGCACACAGCACACAGCTCAAAGCACAGCACACAGGACAGCACACAGCACACAGCTCACAGCACACAGCACACAGCACACAGCACACAGCACACAGCTCAAAGCACAGCACACAGGACAGCACACAGCACACAGCTCACAGCACACAGCACACAGCTTAAAGCACAGCAAACAGCACACAGCACACAGCACACAGCACACAGCACACAGCACACAGCACACAGCACACAGCACACAGCACAGCACACAGCACACAGCACACAGCACACAGCACACAGCACACAGCACACAGCACACAGCACACAGCACAGCACACAGCACACAGCACACAGCTCACAGCTCACAGCACACAGCACAGCACACAGCACACAGCACACAGCACACAGCACACAGCACACAGCACACAGCACAGCACACAGCACACAGCACACAGCACACAGCACACAGCACACAGCACAGCACACAGCACACAGCACACAGCACACAGCACACAGCACAGCACACAGCACACAGCACACAGCACACAGCACACAGCACAGCACACAGCACACAGCACAGCACACAGCACACAGCACACAGCACAGCACACAGCACACAGCACACAGCACACAGCACAGCACACAGCACACAGCACACAGCACAGCACACAGCACACAGCACACAGCACACAGCACAGCACAGCACACAGCACACAGCACACAGCACAGCACACAGCACACAGCACACAGCACAGCACACAGCACACAGCACACAGCACACAGCACACAGCTCACAGCACACAGCACACAGCACACAGCACACAGCACACAGCACACAGCACACAGCACACAGCACACAGCACACAGCACACAGCACAGCACACAGCACACAGCACACAGCACACAGCACACAGCACACAGCACACAGCACACAGCACACAGCACACAGCACAGCACACAGCACAGCACACAGCACACAGCACAGCACACAGCACACAGCACACAGCACACAGCACAGCACACAGCACAGCACACAGCACACAGCACACAGAACAGCACACAGCACACAGCACACAGCACACAGCACAGCACACAGCACACAGCACACAGCACACAGCACACAGCACACAGCACACAGCACACAGCACACAGCACACAGCACAGCACACAGCACAGCACACAGCACACAGCACACAGCACAGCACAGCACACAGCACACAGCACACAGCACAGCACACAGCACAGCACACAGCACACAGCACACAGCACACAGCACAGCACAGCACACAGCACACAGCACACAGCACACAGCACACAGCACAGCACACAGCACACAGCACACAGCACAGCACAGCACACAGCACACAGCACACAGCACAGCACACAGCACAGCACACAGCACAGCACACAGCACACAGCACACAGCACACAGCACAGCACACAGCACACAGCACACAGCACACAGCACACAGCACACAGCACACAGCACACAGCTCACAGCACACAGCTCACAGCACACAGCACACAGCACACAGCACACAACTCACAGCACACAGCTCACAGCTCACAGCACAAAGCACACAGCACAACACAGCACACAGCACACAGCACACAGCACACAGCACAAAGCACACAGCACAACACAGCACACAGCACACAGCACACAGCACAGCACACAGCACACAGCACACAGCACACAGCACAGCACACAGCAAACAGCACAGCACACAGCACACAGCTCACAGCACACAGCACACAGCACAGCACACAGCACGCAGCACAGCACACAGCACACAGCACACAGCACACAGCAAACAGCACACAGCACACAGCACACAGCTCACAGCACACAGCACACAGCACACAGCACACAGCACACAGCACAGCACACAGCACGCAGCACAGCACACAGCACACAGCACACAGCACACAGCACACAGCACACAGCACACAGCACACAGCTCACAGCACAGCACACAGCAAACAGCACACAGCACACAGCACAGCACACAGCACACAGCACACAGCACACAGCTTAAAGCACACAGCACAAAGCACACAGCACACAGCACACAGCACACAGCACACAGCACACAGCACCCAGCACAGCACACAGCAAACAGCACAGCACACAGCACACAGCACACAGCACACAGCACAGCACACAGCACACAGCACAGCACACAGCACACAGCACACAGCACACAGCACAGCACACAGCAAACAGCACACAGCACACAGCACAGCACACAGCACAAAGCACAGCACACAGCACACAGCACACAGCACACAGCACAGCACACAGCAAACAGCACACAGCACACAGCACAGCACACAGCACACAGCACAGCACACAGCACACAGCACACAGCACACAGCACACAGCACACAGCACACAGCACACAGCACAGCACACAGCACAGCACACAGCACACAGCACACAGCACACAGCAAACAGCACACAGCACACAGCACACAGCACAGCACACAGCACACAGCACACAGCACAGCACACAGCACACAGCACAGCACACAGCACACAGCACACAGCACACAGCAAACAGCACACAGCACACAGCACACAGCACACAGCACAGCACACAGCACAGCACAGCACACAGCTCACAGCACACAGCACACAGCACACAGCACACAGCACACAGCTCACAGCACACAGCACACAGCACACAGCACACAGCACACAGCACAGCACACAGCACACAGCACACAGCACACAGCACACAGCACACAGCACACAGCTCACAGCACACAGCACACAGCACACAGCACACAGCACACAGCACACAGCTCACAGCACAGCACACAGCAAACAGCACACAGCACACAGCACACAGCAAACAGCACACAGCTCACAGCACACAGCAAACAGCACACAGCACACAGCACACAGCTCACAGCACAGCACACAGCAAACAGCACACAGCACACAGCACACAGCACACAGCTCACAGCACACAGCTCACAGCACACAGCACACAGCACACAGCACACAGCACACAGCACACAGCACACAGCTCACAGCACACAGCACAGCACACAGCACACAGCACACAGCTCACAGCTCACAGCACACAGCACAGCACACAGCACACAGCACACAGCACAAAGCACAAAGCACACAGCACACAGCACACAGCACGCACACAGCAAACAGCACACAGCTCACAGCACACAGCACACAGCACACAGCACACAGCACACAGCACACAGCACACAGCACACAGCACACAGCACACAGCACACAGCACACAGCACACAGCACACAGCTCACAGCACACAGCACACAGCACACAGCACACAGCACACAGCACAGCACACAGCACACAGCACACAGCACACAGCACACAGCACACAGCACACAGCACACAGCTCACAGCACACAGCAAACAGCACACAGCACACAGCACACAGCACACAGCTCACAGCACAGCACACAGCAAACAGCACACAGCACACAGCACACAGCAAACAGCACACAGCTCACAGCACACAGCAAACAGCACACAGCACACAGCACACAGCTCACAGCACAGCACACAGCAAACAGCACACAGCACACAGCACACAGCACACAGCTCACAGCACACAGCTCACAGCACACAGCACACAGCACACAGCACACAGCACACAGCACACAGCACACAGCTCACAGCACACAGCACAGCACACAGCACACAGCACACAGCTCACAGCTCACAGCACACAGCACAGCACACAGCACACAGCACACAGCACAAAGCACAAAGCACACAGCACACAGCACACAGCACGCACACAGCACACAGCACACAGCACACAGCACACAGCACACAGCACACAGCACACAGCACACAGCACACAGCACAGCACACAGCACAGCACACAGCACACAGCACACAGCACACAGCACAGCACACAGCACACAGCACAGCACACAGCTCACAGCACACAGCACAGCACACAGCACAGCACACAGCACACAGCACACAGCACAGCACACAGCACACAGCACACAGCACACAGCACAGCACACAGCTCACAGCACAGCACACAGCTCACAGCACACAGCTCACAGCACACAGCACACAGCACACAGCACACAGCACACAGCACACAGCACAGCACACAGCTCACAGCACACAGCTCACAGCACACAGCACACAGCACAGCACACAGCACACATCACACAGCACACAGCACAGCACACAGCAAACAGCACAGCACACAGCACACAGCACACAGCACACAGCACAGCACACAGCACACAGCACAGCACACAGCACACAGCACACAGCAAACAGCACACAGCACACAGCACACAGCACACAGCACACAGCTCACAGCACAGCACACAGCACACAGCACACAGCACACAGCACACAGCAAACAGCACACAGCACACAGCACACAGCACACAGCACACAGCACACAGCACAGCACACAGCACACAGCACACAGCACACAGCAAACAGCACACAGCACAAAGCACACAGCACACAGCACACAGCACACAGCACACAGCACACAGCACACAGCACACAGCACACAGCACAGCACACAGCACACAGCACACAGCACACAGCTCACAGCACAGCACACAGCAAACAGCACACAGCACACAGCACACAGCAAACAGCACACAGCACACAGCACACAGCACACAGCACACAGCACACAGCACACAGCAAACAGCACACAGCACACAGCACACAGCACAGCACACAGCACAGCACAGCACACAGCTCACAGCACACAGCAAACAGCACACAGCACACAGCACACAGCACACAGCACAGCACACAGCACACAGCACACAGCACACAGCACAAAGCACACAGCACACAGCACACAGCAAACAGCACACAGCTCACAGCACACAGCAAACAGCACACAGCACACAGCACACAGCTCACAGCACAGCACACAGCAAACAGCACACAGCACAGCACACAGCACACAGCACAGCACACAGCACACAGCACACAGCACACAGCACACAGCACAGCACAGCACACAGCTCACAGCACACAGCACACAGCACAGCACACAGCACACAGCACACAGCTCACAGCACACAGCACACAGCACACAGCACACAGCACACAGCACACAGCACAGCACACAGCACACAGCACACAGCACACAGCACACAGCACACAGCACAGCACACAGCACACAGCACACAGCACACAGCACACAGCACAGCACACAGCACACAGCACACAGCACACAGCTCACAGCACACAGCACACAGCACACAGCACACAGCACACAGCACACAGCACAGCACACAGCACACAGCACACAGCACACAGCACACAGCACAGCACACAGCACACAGCACAGCACAGCACACAGCACACAGCACACAGCACACAGCACACAGCACACAGCACACAGCACAGCACACAGCACACAGCACACAGCACACAGCACACAGCACACAGCACAGCACACAGCACACAGCACACAGCACACAGCACAACACAGCACACAGCACAGCACACAGCACACAGCACACAGCACACAGCACACAGCACACAGCACACAGCACACAGCACACAGCACAGCACACAGCACACAGCACACAGCACACAGCACACAGCACACAGCACACAGCACAGCACACAGCACACAGCACACAGCACACAGCACACAGCACACAGCACAGCACACAGCACACAGCACACAGCTCACAGCACACAGCACACAGCTCACAGCACACAGCACAGCTCACAGCAGCAGTGGGAAATCCCCCTGCAGTGCTTCCTGGTGCTGTGTTGGAAGGATGCTGGGCTAATCACAGTGCACCCATCCAGTCTCTGCCACAGAGACCTGCTGGGTGCTCTGCAGTGGCTCCATCTGCCACCACTGCATGGGGACACTCAGCTCTGGGTTGGAAGATATGCCTTGTTATCAGCTCCAAGGCTGCACCAGGTCTTAGATCAGGGGAAAATTGTTCTCCAAAGAGTGTTAATGCATTGGCACAGGCTGCCCATGGAACAGGGGGGGTAAGGGGGGGTTGAGGAACCATGGGGATGTGGCACTGAGGGATGCGGTGGGGTGGGACTGGGGGTCTCAGAGGGCTCTTGCAGCCTGCATGCTTCCAGTTCTGTTGGATCCAGGGAAGAACACAGGGCCAGCAGGACCAGCACCGAGCAGGTGAGCTCCTCCCCACTGCGGGGTTCCTCTGCACCTTTATTCACTTTTGGACATGGCTGAGTCCAGTCCCCCAGGGCCACCAGCATGGCAGCATGCCCAGGCAGCATCCCACACCCCCAGAGCCATCCCAACAAGTTTAATCCCAAGGATGATGGATGGGATGATGGATGGAGCCCCACTCAGCGCTGGGCACTGCAAGGACGGGTGGTAAAACCACAAAGAGCCCAAAGAGCTTCAAAAAAGGAAGCCCCGGGCTGATTCTGCACATCCACAGTGCCCCCACTGCCCAACTGTGGCCTGTGTGAGTGTGGGGCAGCCTCCTGCTCAGCAAGCTGCCCATAGCGTGTGGTTTTCTGTGAGCCAGGGCAGCACCAGCACGGCCCAAAGCCCCACACACCCTGCTGACACTCAGCAGGTCCCCGTGACCGAGCACCAGCCATCCCACCGGGATGCAGTGAGGAGCAGAACTGAGCCCCTGCCCTGGGATGGGACCTGCAAAGGGCTCTCCTGCAGTGCAGCTGCAGCCACAGCAGCTGGAGAATTGCTGGATTGGGAGGATAAACAGAGGCCATGAGGCAGGAGCTGCAATGAAGCACTGTGTGACTGCCTGGCTGTGCCCCATGCTCCCATTCTGCCCCACGTGGCCCCATGCTCCCATCCTGCTCCATACAGACCCACGCACAGCACCCATGCTGCTCCAAACGAACCCAGCCCCGTGCACAACACCCATCCTGCTCTGCACAGATCCAGCCCCAGGTTCAGCTCCCACTCTGCTCCATACGAACCCAGCTCTCCTGAGCCAGCCCCAGGCCAGTGTCACAGGCAAACCTGCACGTGCAAAAGGCACCACAGGTGTTCAGAGCTCCTGCATACCCAGTTCCAAAGCTGCCTTTGAACACACTGCCCTGTGCTGCTGCTTGTGGCTTATCCCAAAGCAGGGCACCAATCACAGCTGGGTGCAGGTGATGGAGCTCTGCCTGATGTGCAGTGTGACCAGCAGCTCCCCAAGCCTTCAGCCTCTTGCAGAGAAGCCCCAGAGCTGCATGTGAGACCCACAGCCGCCTGCAGCTGCTCCCTGCTTGCAGGACTGCTCCCCAGCACAGAGCCCAGCTCAGCTCCCAGAGGGGCTCCCCCAAGCAAGGGGAAAAGGGCAGAATGCAGACCCCAGGAGATGGCATTCTGAGGATCAGTTCCACGTGAAAACTACAGAACAGGAACTCAAAACATTCCTCCACGGTTTGCTTTGTTGGAAGTGTGAATTTTGGTGACCATCAGCCACATTCACCCGATTCTTTAATACCTTCACCACCCAGATCCGGTCATTTTAGAAGCAAGCAACAGCTGAAGCCCTTCCACCACCAGCCCCAACCACAGCACCGAGAGAAGAAAGGAAAGTGTCTGTACCTCGGGACTTACTGTGTGTTTCTTAGTCATCCTCCAGAGGATGCACGTCAGGAGCATGTGGCCCAGAGCTGACGTGATAAAGACGATGAAGGCATTCTCATGGATTGCTGAATCAACAAGACAAGAGGCTTCCTGTTAAATGTAGGCACCGAAATGAGCCGGAAGCACCAGGGGAGGCTTTGGGGGCAAAGAATGGTGGGCACAGCCCTGCCGGCAGCCTCAGCAGCACGCCAGCCAGGCAGAGCTGAAGACAGCTGTCTGCCCATGCCTTGTGTCTTCCCCGAGGGCTGGGGCTGCACGTTTCTGAGTGTGCATTATGTGTTTGGCAGCACAGCACAGCACACAGGGCTTTTATCTGCTCTCTGGCACCTGGTCTGGGAGCCCCAACGGCTGCAAACCACAGGCAAACTTGGGAGCAGCTCTTGGGATGGATGGGGAAACTGAGGCACGGCGGCTGGCTGCACAGTGAGCCTGCCCAGCACGTCCTGCTGGTCTCCTGCATTTCAGCTGCCAGCAGCCTTATCACCAGCACCGAGGCTGTCCTGCACACTGCTGAACCCACACTGGCTGCGGGGCAGGCAGGAACCATCACTTGTTGAGTGGTGTGGAATTTAGGCAGCTCGCAACACCCAGAGCCACATGCAAAGTCCATGAGATTTTGGGCCAAATGCTTTTGTTTTAAATAGAAGCACTTATTCACAAAGCATTCCCCCAACTTTTCTCCAGGAACGGAACCCACAGGCTGAATTTGCAACCACGACACCTGACCGTAAGAACCACACTTCCCTCCTCTTCTTTCTCTTCCCTGTTTCAGGGGAAGGAAAACAATGTCCCCCAGCTTGGAGCAGAGCTGAAGGCAGCAGCTGGAGGTAAGAAGGTGGCAGTGCCCCGCAGAAGGGATGAGCCTGAGCCCAGCTGCAGCTGCATGGCTGTGTGAGTGGCTGAGGGCACCCATGGGCATCCTGGATGCAGCCCACCCCACAGCCCCATTATGGCATCACTGCAGGGCCCAGGGAGCACAGCCCACTCCCAAAGGCAGCCAGCAGGCTCGCAATCCATGCTGCTGCAGCCTTCAGTACAGCTCCAGCCCCTCCTCACCCTTCCTGCAAGGACACAAACCAGCTTCTTCTTGTCAGCCCTGCTCCAAACCCGCTCTCCATGCAGCCCTGCTGTCTCCCTTTGCAGTACTCTGTGACTGTAACCCTGCACCCCGTGGCTGCACCCAGCCTTCACCACCAAGTCCCAGCAGCTCCGTGCCCTTTGCAGCAGCACCACCTAGTGACTGCAGCCCTCCGTGCTGCCACCACCACCAGGTCCCACTGCTGGCAGTTACACTCAGCTCAGATGGGACCCATGGGTGAGAGGCAGCTCTGAGCCCATTGCTTCACGTGCTTTGGTGTAATCTGAAAGATTCTCATTTGCTCAGCAGTCAATACAGGAAATTAACCCAGAAAATGCTGCTAGGAGACAGTAGGTTGGAGTCAACTCAGTGCCAATGGCCACAAGGCAGAAGTGGGGGCTGTGCTGACAGCAGGAGCAGTGCTGAGTTTTCTGAGTGGTGATAAGCAGCATTAAGCACATCCTCAGCATAGGAAAACAGCACTAGGGCTGGATGGCAGCTTGGCACAGAAATGCAGCCACCAGGAATTCACATAAAGGCACGTGAGGGACGAGGATGTGATCTGAAAGCCAGCACGGCTTCACCAAGGGCAGGCCGTGCCCAATCCATCTGGAGGCCTTCTGCAATGGCATTGGTGGGTAAAGGGAAGGGCAAAGGATGCCATCCAGCTGGATGCATGCAAGGCCTTCGACATGGTCCCACACCACATCCCTATCTCTAAATTGGAGGCATGGATCAGAGGGTGGCTGTTTGGGGGATAAGGAGTTGGCCGGGAGGTTGGAGCTGAAGGGCTGCGGTCAATGGGAACGGCTTCAGAATGGGAGATCTAGGGCAGATGGAGGAGGAAATTCTTTACCTAGAGAGCAGCGAGGCTCTGACACTGAGCCCAGGGCTGTGGGGGCCCCATCCCTGGAGATCAGGACTGGATGGGGTCCTAAACAGCCTGAGCTGCTGCTCGACTTAGTGGCTGTAAATCCTGTCCACAGCTGCAGGTGGAAACTGGATGATCCTTGAGGTCCCTTTCAGCCCAAACCACTCCATGATTCTGTGAGTTTCAGCCAGAGCTGAGCTACAAGCACATTACAGATGTAACTTGCACATATCCCCATCCCTGCAGGCATTCAAGGCCAGGCTGGATGTGGCTCTGGGCAGCCTGGGCTGCTGGTTGGCGACCTGCACACAGCAAGGGTTGGAGCTGGATGAGTGCTGTGCTCCTGTGCAACCCAGGCCATTCTATCATTCTATAATACAAATCCTAACTTTTACAGAGCTCAGCTTCCACAAACGAGCTGAGCATGCAGGGGTTGATGCAGAGTTGCAGGGAGCCACGTACCATAGTTCTCTGAGGAGGACACATAGGTCAGCACGAGGAGGGCAAAGTTCTCGAGCAGGTTGAGCAGCAGGTTGAGGTGGCACAGGCGCAGGTAGCGAGGGTGGGAGCAGTGGCAGCTCTGGTAGTGGTTCCAATAGGCAACAGCCACCAGGAAACGTGGAGCTGAGTGCAGACCAATGCAGAGCCGCCAGACGTAGCGCTGCGGGGTCTCTCCTCCGATGGCAGCACTGATGGAGGGCAGGTAGTTTGGGACCTGGAAGATGGGAGCACGGCTTGTTATGGCACAAATGCCACGTCAAAAGACAGGAAACGGACATGGTGGGGCTGATGTGCAGGAAAGGAACTCTGCAGAGCAGGGCCTGGAGGTCCTGGTTGAGCAGTGGGTTGAGCTGAGTGCCCTGCGGCCAAGAAGGCCAATGGGATCTGGGATACGCTGCAGAGTGCGGCCAGCAGGGTGAGCGAGGAGATCCTCCCCTCTGCTCTGCCCTGGGGAGGGCACAGCTGCAGCACTGCACCCAGTGCTGGGCTCCCCAGCTCCAGACGGACTGGGAACTGGTGGGAGAGCCCTAAGGAGGGTGCAGAGCTGGTGGGGGCCTGGAGGACCTCGTGCTGGGGACAGGCTGAGAGTGCCAGGGCTGTGCACCTGCAGGAGAGAAGGCTGGATCTGAGCAGTGTCTGAAGTGTAGGGGGTGATAAGTGAAGTTTATCAGTGTCTGAAGGGCAGGGGATGGGGCTGGGCTCTGTTCCGTGGTGCCCAATGCCAGGACAAGGGGCACCTGCATAGCCTGCAGCCCAGGGAGTTCCATCTGTGCTGTGAGGGGGGCAGAGCTCCAGTACTGCTGCCCTGCGAGGTGAGGATCTTCCTGCAGACATCCAAACCCATCTGGGCACCCTCTTGTTCAAAGACTGTACAGAACTGCCTGTGATTCTGTAACACAGCAGCAGTCCTGATGCATCCTGCAGGGCTATCCAGCCCCCAGCACCTCCACAGCCTACTGAGAAGGCTCAGTGAGCTGAGAACCCTGCTCAGGTTCTCTGCTTGACATCCACAACCCTCACTCCTTCCCTTCCCTGCGTGTCCCTTCTCAAGCACAGGGACAGGCTGCCCAGGGAAGCGGTGAGGTCACTGTCCCCAGAGGTGTGCAAAAAACGTGTACATGTGGCACTGAGGGACATGTTTTACTGAGCACAGTGGGGATGGGTTGGGGTTGGACACGGTGATCTCAGAGGTCTTTTCCAACCCTAATGATTCGATGATTCCATCCCCAGGTTCAGAGAGAGAAGAGAGCAGGGAAGCGAAACGACATTGAAACAACAGAAAGCTGACAGCAACAGCAGGCAAAGGCGATGTTCAGAAACACAACAGCAGGAAAACCTTGGAGCTGACCTCCAAGTATGTGCAGCCAGTTGTGATTGCCATGCAAAAGGTGATCCCTGCAGGGCAACTATGCCATGGAATCACAGCTTGGCTGCAAAAGACCTCCAAGATCACCTGGTGCGGTAAACGAGCTGCGCAGGGAGGAAATCAGAAGGATCAAAGTCTGGTTTAACTAAAACTTGTTTTAGTTTAGTTTAGTAAAGTCTTGTTTAATCTAAAACTCCCAGATCCCCGCTTATTTCCCATGCTGTGTGAAATCCTTTAGAAACACTTCAGCTGAGTCCCCAATGAAATTGTTTTCTTGGATAAAGGGGCTGCAATTCCTACGTGCTGTTCTCCCACCAGGAGCTCTCCTGATCCCTTTCCTTTCTCCAGGCATCGATTGCTGATGCTGGCATTGAATCAATAAGAGGCGTGGATGGAGGCTTCCCTTGCCCAGCAACCTCACTTGAAAGCTCTCTTCACTGTCCTGTCATTGATGATGCTCTTCCCCTGCTCTGAGGGATGGACTCTCTCAGTCCTCAGCAGACAAGAGTTCAGTGATCTAAAGAGCCAAAACCAGCATCACGATCAAGTGCTGATCCAATGGATTTGAGTGGTTCCTTCAGAGATCTTTCCTCTGATTAAAGGCAAGACCTGGTGCCCCACAGGCTCTTAGAGCTGCTCCAAAGGCTCTGCAGTCCTGGATACAGCTTGGTCTGCTTTTGACAGCGTTGATGGCACCCAGGTGGAGTAACAGCCTGCAGACTGAAGCTCCTCACACCGACTGCCGTTTGCCTGAGGAAACAGCTCCTTTTCACTTGCTTCACACACAGTGTTCATGATCTCCCCTGCTCCTCACACTGGCACAGGAGGCAGTGGGTCCCTGTCTGCTTTCCCACCCAGCCAGGACGTCAGAGGCCTCCACCTCTCTGCTCTCATCCCAGCATCTTTGCAGGCTGAAGCTGAGGAGCCCTCACCCCGCATCTCGAGCTGCAGGACACCTCAGAGCATCCCTGCAGCACTGCCCAACACGCCTGTCCTGTGAGGAGGGGACAATGTCCCACAAGGAGGGGACATTGCACATGTCATTTCTCTCAATCACCACTGGGATCCCACTGCTCTGCCCTCAGGAGTCCACATCACCACCCCTCACCTTCATCACCCTGCTGTGTTTGGGAGGAGGAGCAGCAGGGATCCTGCACAACACCAGGGTCGCCTCCTCTCATAGCTCTTCACCTTCTGCTTACTGATGTTTGTGCCATGGCTGAGGAACTCGACCTGATGCATTCCAGAAAGCTGGCTGTCCCTCACAGCCAGAGCTCCCAGGCACGTAGCACAAAGAACTCCAACAGACGTGAGAGGCAGCAACTCCACTTGTAAGAGGAACTCCTTGTCGAGACAGCATACTTAGCTTCAGCCTTGTCAGCTTTATTCTTTATGGCAACCAACACCAATCTGCTCAGTGTCACTTTTCAAAAACTGAAAACTCAATTGCCCATTCAGAGGCAACACAAAAACAAATCACAGAATCACAGAATCACAGAATCACAGAATCACAGAATCACAGAATCACAGAATCACAGAATCACAGAATCACAGAATCACAGAATCACAGAATCACAGAATCACAGAATCACAGAATCACAGAATCACAGAATCACAGAATCACAGAATCACCTGGGTTGGAAGGGACCCCAAGGATCATGTAGTTCCAACCCCCTGCCCAGCAGGGCCACCAAACATCCACATTCAGATCAGGTTGCCCAGGACCCCGTCCAACCTGGCCTTGAACACGGCCAAGGACGGGGCATCCACAACCTCCCTGGGCAGCCCGTTCCAGGGCCTAACCACTCTCCTTGTGAAGAACTTCCCCCTAACATCCAACCTCAATCTTCCCTCCTTCAACTTGGATCCATTTCCCCTCGTCCTGCTGTTGTCAGCCCTTCTGAAGAGTTTACTCCCCTCCTGGCTGTAGGTTCCCTTCAGGTATTGATAGGCTGCCATGAGGTCACCCCGCAGCTTCTCTTCTCCAGGCTGAACAAGCCCAACTCCCTCAGCCTGTCCTCATAGGGGAGGTGCTCCAGCCCCCTGCTCATCTCAGTCGCCCTCCTCTGGACCCTTTCCAAGATCTCAATGCCTTTCTTGTACTGAGGGCTCCACACCTGGACACAGGACTCCAGGTGGGGCCTCACAAGAGCCGAGTAGAGAGGGACGATCACCTCCCTGTCCCTGCTGACCACCCCTCTCCTGATGGAGCCCAGGATCCCATTTGCCTTTCGAGCTGCCAGAGCGCACTGCTGCCTCATGTTCAGTGTCTCGTCCATCAGGACCCCCAGGTCCTTCTCTGCCGAGCTGCTCTCAAGGCCCACTCCTCCCAGCCTGTACGGGTGCCTGGGGTTCTTCCAGCCCAAATGCAAAACCTTGCACTTAGCCGTGTTGAACCTCATTAGGTTCACCCGAGCCCAGCCCTCCAGCCTGTCGAGGTCCCTCTGAATGGCATCCCTTCCTTCCACCGTATCAACCGCACCACTCAGCTTGGTGTCGTCAGCACCTTCAAGGTGACACAGCACCTGTGGTAGGAAACAGAGGATCCCTGCACAGCCAGCACCCGGAGGAGCTCAGCGCCCTGCAGGTGAACGTCACTTACCCCGCAGTGCGTGGCTGTTGTCTCCTTGAAGTGGAAGAGCAGAGACCAAATCACGCAGAAAAGGAAACCAAACAAGGGGCAAAACACAGTCCAAACAGCCAGAGTGGTGAAACGGAGCCGGAACAGGATACCATCACGATCCAGGGGCAGCGGTACCTGGAGCATGCTGACGGACCTGGAAGCAGAAAGCACACGTTGGGAGGGATTCTCTGCCCTTCAGTCCCCAGCAGCTCTCAGCATGGATGCATCAAGCTATAATAAGCTGCAAACAGAGAAACCTGGGCACAGCCGGTGTTTCACAACAGTCTGAGTGCTGGATGGAGGCACCAGAGGCAGAAAGCAGCATCAGCTGCATGGGACAAGCTTCTAGCTCTGCACCACGAGGCTGGGAGACACGCGACTGCATTTCTGCCAGGCAGAGCCATCCAGATCCTTCCTCGGCCGAGCTCTGAGCTGCTGTGCTGACACGGCACCATGCTGCCCCAGACGGGGCACTGCGAGCACAGCACAGCCAACAGCACACCTCAAGGAAGCTGCAGGACCACAGCCTTCAGCTTGCATGATAAAAACATTGCTCAACAACTCACACAGGTCAGGTCAGGTCCAGTTATCGAGCCTGGCAGCTTGCCCTTGGCTCAATGCCCCAGCATCAGCCAGGTGCACTCCAGCTCTGAGGCACTGCTGTTTGTCCTACGTGCCTCAGGCTGTGGTGCACAGAGTTGCAGTCTCCAGCACTGCACATGTCTTTACTTCAGCCCCAAATCATCACTCCGCTGAGCGTGGCCCAAATCTCTCCCATCCACACCGCCCTCCCTTCACCTGGGGACAAGGGACAAAGGGCCATGATGCTGAGTGCTGGCTTCCTCCCTCACCTCGGGCTCTACGACAAATCCTCCTCGCAGACAATCCCCGTTGAAGCCAATTATCAGCAGACCAAGGGCAACACAGGGTCACATCCTGCAGTGTGACCTCAGGCTGCAGCCCAAAGAGCTGCTGCTGAGAGGTGTGGGGCAGGGTCCTGCTCAGTGCCAGGTGCTGCTGCCATAGAGCAGCAGAGTGATGTCAAACTATGTGACCACCTCAGGGTTTGCTGCTCTGCCTGGATTCATTTACTGTGGGATGCAAACTTTAAGGACGCAGCTGCAGCCATGGAGGTGAGGACAGAGTGGGACCTCCTGCCCAGGCAGCTCCACTGCTGATGCTTTGAATGAAGGACAGTGTGCCTGAATCATAGAACGGCCTGGGTTGCAAAGGAGCTCAATGCTCATCCAGCTCCAAGCCCTGCTGTGTGCAGGTCGCCAAGCAGCAGCCCAGGCTGCCCAGAGCCACATCCAGCCTGGCCTTGAATGCCTGCAGGGATGGGGCATCCACAGCCTCCTTGGGCAACCTGGGAGCTTGGAGTTGTGCTGAAGGTTGTGGGGGGGGCACAGGGCTCAGAGCTGTGGGGATGTGGGCAGTGGGGGGGGATCACAGCATCTCAGAATGGTTTCGGCTGGAAGGGAGCTCAAGGATCACGAAGCTCCAACCCCCACCAATGCAGGGCCACCAACCTCCCCATCTCACAGCAGCCCAGGCTGCCCAGGGCTCCATCCAACCTGGCCTCCAACACCTCCAGGGATGGACGGGGCATCACAGCCTCTCTGGGCAGCTGTTCCAGCACCTCACCACTCTCTCTCTAAAGAACTTAAGCACCCTTCAAGCACTGGAAGGCCACCATGAGGTCTCCCCAAAGCCTTCCCTTCTCCAAGCTCAACAAGCCCACTTCCCTCAGCCTGTGTTCACAGACGAGCTGGTCCAGCCCTCTGACCATCTTAATGTCCCTGCTCTGGACGCAGCTGGCAGAAGCAGCACAGAGCTGTGGAGAGGCAAAGTTGAGACCCATCCGTCACACAGTGCTGTCCGTAGAGCTGCAGTTCAGACCCCGAGCCCCTACCGGCCCGGGCTCACGACAAACCGAGACCCCGCAGCCCCCATCGCCGCACGGACCGCCCTCACGGCCCAGACCCCAAGGGCCGCCCCACACCCGCTACGTTCCCCGCTCTCACCCCTTCGGCCCGCTGTCCCCCGTTGCTCCGCTCCTCCCGCCCCGCGCACCGCACACCTCACACCGTTCCTCGTTCCTCCATGCCCGCCCCGGTCTGCCCCCGCCCCTTCCTGCTCCGCTGGGCCCCCTGTCCGTACCTGCTCATCCCTCCTCCCCTTCGCCCCACCCCGTTCCCGCCCCTCGGCCCCCCTGTCCTCCCCCGGCCCCCTCTGCCTCAGTCCCGCAGCACCGCCGCAGGCCCCACCCCGGGGCGCCCCTCGCGGCGCGGCCCCATCAGGCCCAGGTTTGGGCTCTAAAAGGCCCGAAGGCTCCGCGTGGGGCGCCCCCTGCCGGCCCGGCGGACCGCTTAAACGCGCCCCGCCCTTTGCGCGGCGCACACAGGAGGCCGAGAAGCTCTCTGATTGGGCGGGCCGGAAGAAGCCCCGCCCTCGGCGCGCCCGGATGCTGGGCGGCGAGGCGGGAGGGATGTTCTGGACTCTTCCGCAGCGTCAGCCCCGCCCCCTCCCGGGCGAGACCAATCAGTGCAGGGCGCTTATCTCCACTTTAGCCAATAGAAAAAAGGAAACAGGGAGAGTGGGTGGGTCCATTCACTGCCGCCTAGAGGGGGCAGCCAATGGGCTGCGGGCTCAAGGGAGTGGGGACGGCGCGTGGGCCGCTGGGAGGCGCGCGGAGCGGGTTGTGACGCAGCTTCCTCCGTGTGTGGCGGCGGCGCGGGAGTGGCGAGGCTGGTTCGGGCCGGGAAGGGCCGGACCCGGCCGGGCCGCGCTGCTCTTCTCTCTTCGACGGTGAGCTCCGCGTCCGCAGTGCGCTTGGGGTCTCCGGGCCGCGCCACGGCCTTCTCGCTATAGAACAGCCTCGGAAACCGGGAGCCGGGCCGCCGCGGCCTGCGGGCGGTGCAGCCGGTCCAGCCGGGAGCGGGGCCGAGCGGGGGATGTCGCGGTGATCGGGATAGCGGTATGAAACGGCGCCGCTGAGGTGACTGAGGGCTGCGGGAGCGTCGTGAGGGAGCTGCGCCGTGTTGGGGCTCAGCACCGCGGTTTGGTGAACTGCGGGTGTGCGGTGTGGGGAGTGGAACTGTGTGAAGGCAGCTGGTATCGTTGTGTAATGGGGGAACGTGGTGGGGCTGCGCTGCCGGACCTGGCCAATGCTGCCAGCGATTATGGCGTTTTCGTGGCGGAGTAACTGGTGGTCTCAGCGCAGAAAAGGACTGCGGGTTTCTGAGGCTGTGATTCCCGTCATGGTTTCATTTGTGTGACTTGTTCACAGCATCACAGAATGGTTTGGGTTGGAAGGGAGCTCAAGGATCACAAAGCTCCAACCCCCCACCAATGCAGGGCCACCAACCTCCCCATCTCACAGCAGCCCAGGCTGCCCAGGGCCCCATCCAACCTGGCCTCCAACACCTCCAGGGATGGACGGGGCATCACAGCCTCTCTGGGCAGCTGTTCCAGCCCCTCACCACTCTCTCTCTAAACAACTTCCCCCTGACATCCAACCTCCAGCTGCCCTCCCTCAACTTCAAACCATTTCCCCTTGTCTTGCTGTTATCTACCATACCAGAAACTTATTGTAGGATGCCCCATCCCTGGTGGCACTCAAGGCCAGGCTGGATGTGGCTGTGGGCAGCCTGGGCTGCTGGTTGGTGACCCTTCAAACAGCAAGGAGTTGGAACTGGATGATCATTGTGCTCCTTTGCAACCCAGGCCATTCTATCATTCTATGATCTCCTCCTTTACCAGCTGGGGTGGTTGGACTCAGTGATCTCATGAAGTCTCTTCCAACCACTGTGATTCTGTGACCAATTTGATTCTTGATGAAGAAGTGGATATTTCTGTTGTGCTTGTATTTGGAGACAAGGTTGGAGGTAGTGTTGTTACACCTACAATTAAGTAAAACAGCATAGGGTGTTAAGGTGCGTCACACACCCAGTGAGCAGCTGCATGGAAATGCTCAGAATGTTGGATTGAGGACATCTTGGTGAGCCCAGCAAGCCATGAAAGCAGAGCTGGAGGAGGGTTTGTTCCTGTATCTCTCATGCGGTGCATTTCTTTGTGTTAGCAGGAGTTGGAACATATAGGTTGTAACAGAAAAGCCCTGGTGGACAATCTTAGGCTGTAGTTCAGTGCAAATCCCTGTGTCTGTTCTTAAGGCTGTGTTCTGGTGGGCTCTCAGGTGTGAGATGGCTGAGCAGAGACGTGCAGAGCACGTGGATCAGATGTGGGGAGCACCGTTTGTGAGAGATGTCTGTTGAGAGAGCAGATCTGGGCAGTGGAGCTGCCTTATCTCAGCACGTGGGTTTGTAGGAAACGTCATAAAGGATGGAAGGGAGCTTGCTTGTGGTGCTGCTGAAGTGTCAGTGCTCTCCTCTCACTGTTTGCAGTGACTCCGGTCGTGCATCTCGTGGTTGAAGTACTCAGTTTGCTGAGTATCAGCGGTGAGGAAGATGAGAAATGACATTTAAAGCTTTGAAAGCTCAACCAGATTCTTCTTTCCAGGTTTAAGGAAAGGAAACTGATAACATACTGAAAATGTTTAACAAATCCTTCGGAACTCCTTTTGGAGGTAACACTGGCTTTGGAACAACATCAACTTTTGGACAAAGTGAGTAATACATCTAAGTCTGTACTTTTGATTTTTGCACTGCTTGGTGTGGTTTATTTTCCCACAGTAGAACTGCTTGAGAATCACACAGAGGTGGGGGTTCTCTGTGTGTGATGGCAGCAGGGTGCTGCTGTGGGCTGTCCAGCTCACTTGCTTGGCAGTGATGGGATGCAGAGCTGTGTTAGCAGAGAATCAGGAGCCCAAGCCTGCTTCACGGGGTCTTTTTTCAGCACACAGCAGAATTCTGCATGCTGCTGATGAAGCTTCCTTTTATAAAAGGAGTGGGAAGTTGGATGCTTTGGGGAAGGCATCTTTGCCTGGGCTGGGAGGAAGGTTCATTTGGTTGGGACTGGAATATGGGAAGGAAAAAGCAGGTGATGTGGGAGCTCTCTGGAGATGAGCAGCACAGTGGGATTGCTGCCCTTGAAAGCAGACCATCCATCAGTGTGTTTGCACTGCTTGGTGGGAAGAGAAGACAGCTTCTGCTCTTGTATTGCTCCCAAAGTAACATTGGTGCAGAGCAGCTTCCAGGGGGTGGAAGCCTTGCAGCCTGGTGTGGGGCTGAGCATCCTTGCCAGGTGTAGCAGCAGCTGACTCAGCACCGTAGGCTCCTTCTGTAAGAGCTGTGAAAGCATTAATGGTGCTGCTCTGATGCTGAGGTACAGCTGGTCAGGCACAGACTTTGGTTTGGAAGTTGGAAAGGCAATCTCAGTTGAGTTTCTCGTACGTGTGTTCAGAACAAGACTTTGTCTAACCTGTGGTGCTGATTTTCCAGATGCTGGCTTTGGTACCACAGGTGGAGGAGCGTTTGGCACGTCAGCCTTTGGGGCAAACAGCAACACTGGAGGCCTCTTTGGGAACACCCAGGCAAAGCCAGGTACTGCAGCATTACAGCTGGAGGCAGAATTGTGTCCTGAAAGCAATGACTTTTACCACCAAAACCTCAAACCGAGCAGCGAAACGATGGCAAACGACTCACAGCTTTGTTTCTGTCTGCAGGAGGGCTCTTCAGTTCCAACGCCTTTAATCAGCCCGCCACCTCCTCCACCAGCACTGGCTTTGGCTTTGGAACATCCACAGGAACATCCAGCAGCCTGTTTGGTACCACCAGCACTGGTGGGGGCCTCTTCTCATCCCAGAGCAATGCCTTCGCACAGAATAAACCTGCTGGCTTTGGAAGTGAGTCGAACTCTTGTGTCTCTTGAGTATGGCTGATACAGTTTGACTGAGGCACGGGAAGCTGGGTGTGTGTGGGGGCCTGGTACAAGTGTTAATGTGAAGTGTTAATGTTTGGTTTTGTTGTTATGGTCCACGGTAGGCAGATGCCAGTGTGATATGCTGCAAAACCCATAGCTGTGATTCTAGCCTTGAGTTTTACACTAATTCATACATAAGTGACCAACTGGTGTTTTCTATTCTTGACTAACCTTTGGCTCTGCTTGATTTTAGCTTCTTGTTCTGCTGGTGCAGAGTAGTTACGATTAGTTCTGCTTCTGGTGCTAAAATATTTGAAATGCCCCTTCAGCATTTCTGTCATTCCCTGAAGCAGAAACTTCTGAAGAAAGCTGAAGCTTCCTGTTGTCTCTGTGCACATCCATTAATGGGTGCTGCTGTCAGCAGGATGGAACTTGGTGCTGAGGTTCTCTGCT